AAATTTGCCTCTGTAAGTGCCTCATTGTTAATAGGGATTCCCTGTATTTCTGGTTCATGTCGCTGATCTAAACTATATATATCCTTCATGTCTTCTTTCACCTCTACTACATTTATTATATTAAGGAACTGTCCAGTTATCTAAAACTTGCTTCACAAATCTCCTCAAAGATGAACACTTCTGGAGGAACACATATTTTCTAAGCCTCAGAGTAAAAAAACTGTCTGCAAATGAGGAAAATCAGAAATGATGGCGGTTAAAGGTCTGATGACAGGTCCTTATAATGCAATTGAGATGGAAATTTTTTATTTCCGTAACATCCATTTTAGAATTATGACGGTACCAGAACATAACACATTTTAAGAAACTTTATGCAAATGTACCCAAAAAAGACTTTCTTGTCACTTTTACTTCATAGTGCATCTCATGAAATTTACCATGTGCTTAAAATTATATTTGTAAAAACCCTTTGCTCTTTTAATAGAAAGGACAGTCCTCTTGAATAAAAAAAGACCTGATATAACACAGAATCTTTATTTTCTACGCTGATTATAAGAGAGGGAATGACAGACCATTTATGATTTCTCCTAACAGTAGACCAAGAAACAAGTTGCTAACATTTTGGTTTTTTGAAACAGTGATGTCCTTGTCTCTCTGACTCCTTCTGGTTGCAGCCCGCTCCCTCTGTCATTGGGCCTTTGGCTGATAGCGCTGCTGGTTGCCCCTCACAGCTGGGCTAATCAGGAAGTAAGTCCGCTGGGGGTGAGAGTCATGGAAAGAGCCCTTCTCAACTCCTCCAGAGGTAAAAGAAGCCTGAAGTCCGCACTTTGTCAGACAGATTCGAGGTTCCATTGGTTCCTTAGCTTGATCAGCACTTTCTGGATCCATGACCTTTCCTGGTCCCCAAGTCTGACCTTTGATTTGGCCTGTCCTATGACAGGCGCATGGCCTCCGGCTGGAAAACAATTTGGGATCCTTGCCGGAGAGGCAATGCTCGTGGTGGCGAGTCCCGAACAGCAGCCAGGGCTGTATTGCATCAGGGACTAGGGAGGGTCATTATCCAACAGGTGGTGACTGCCCTGGGCACATGGCTCATTTGGAATAAGGACACATCCTTGGACTTTGCTGCACCGTTGGGGGAGTCCGTGGCACAGCGGGATCCCCTCCCAGATGCCTGGTATCCTCTCCCTGGGACAGTGTCATCAGCATGTTACAGACACTGTCTGAGGCGAGAACAGTGGGATTATCCCAATCTGTTTGTGCTTCTGTGTCTTTGTGATCAGCTGGGCTCCATGTGGAAGTTCTGTCCCATGGGGTGGAAAACCAGCGACTCCCTTCCCTCCGTGTGGGCTTTTCCCACAGGCTGGGCCCCTGTGTTCTGCCTCTGTTGAGGGGGCCCTGTCTG